CTATCTAGCTAAAATATAGCTCTATTTGATTGGGAAAGCATATGTAACATGACTATAAATTTAATTGTCATAGATGACATAGATGACTACCCTGTATTTCTTTATTATCCTAAATTGCTTTCAAAGGCTAAAACTTTACATTATTTTTTTCAAATTCTTTTTTAATAATTTATTTTTATTTTATATGCATTAGTGTTTTGCCTGTGTGTATGTCTGTGTGATGGTGTATATTGGTGTGGGAGGTCCTTCTGTCTATGTGTTGATTTTATTGGTTAATGAATAAAGAAAACTATAACATGGGAGGAGGAAAGCAGAGTGAGAGAGAAGTCATGGATCCACAGCCTGAGAGAGAAGCTGGGAACTTTAGCTGGTCAGCCACAACCATGTGGCTATACACAGAATAATAGAGATGGGTTAGTTTAGGATATGAGTTTATCCAGAAATACACTTAAGCTATTGGCCCAACAATATTGCAAATAATATGGTTTTCTGAGTGGTTATTCTGTGGCTGGGTAGTCGGGACAAATAAGCAACCCTTCCCCCAACAACATATAGGTTGGTTTAATTCAGCATTTCCTCCCATAATCCAATGTCTTTCAGCAGCTGTTATTTATTCAACATTCAAAAAACTCAAAGTCAACAAAGCACTATACAGGATCTCGATGCCCTGTGTATTTCCCATTTTTATGTGTTTTTTTTCCTTTATATTACTTTACTCTCTCTTTAAAGACTTTACTTCATTATTTTAACTATGTTTTCCTATGACTATCTATATCCATTTTTTTACTGTATCTGTTTAAAGGTTTTCTTGTTCCGGACCACTTTACAATGTGTCTGAAGCCTTCTCTGATAACATGAGCCAAACCTTAAACCTGATTCTCAGCTCTGCACATGGCACTGGCTGGCTCAAGCCTGCGGGCATGGCTGGGAGCCATGTCTCTGTATGTTGTGGCCCTCCAGAGAGACTGTGGGACTAGAAAGCTGTGTCTGGTTCCATGTTTGTGTGTTTCAAACTTTTTAAAAAAGCTTTCTCAGGTCCTATGTGGAAAACTTGCCCCCATGTTGGATGCCATATTTGATGAATCTTTTTCTGTTCTACCAACCAGCTCTCAAATAATGACACAAAGACTTCTTATTAATTATTAAAGTTGGCCTATAGCTTAGGTTTGTACTGAACTAGCTCTTATAACTTGAATTAACCCATTTATATTAATCTACCATCACATGGCATTAACTCTCATGTACTTCCTGTTTTCTCTCCGAGTCTCCTGGCATCTCCTGTGTGCCTAGATTTCTCCTCCTCTTTCTTTCTCTTCCAGAAATTCTACCCGTACTTTCTGCTTAGCTATTGGCTGTTCAGCTTTTTATTACAGCAACACATCTTCACAGAGCTTACAAATATCCCATAGCATTCCACTTTATGCACTGGTGAGACAACCCTAGAGGCGTTGCATGATGGGCACATACCCTACTAACTGAACTGCACCCAGTTCAACCTGAACTTAAGATCCAGCCCCTTCCTTTGTTTTAGGATTACAGGGCTATGCAACAATGCCTGGTGACATTTGTTTATTTACTTACTTTACACATGTGGACACCCTTCATCTTACAGGCCTTAGATTGTTTTTATTGAAATGATTATATGTCAATAAATGCTTAAAAGAAATACTGGAGAACCCATCTGCAATTTGCCCAGCTTTCGAAACATTTTACAACGCTATAGCAATTAACATGATTGCAATTCACCAATCTCATTGAAATCGCCACATTTGTATTTGCATTGGTATATATGTACTAGGGTTTATAGGGTGTTACCCAGCGCAGGTTCACATAGCCACCAGCAGAGTTAACTTTCTGACGAGCATCACCAAGAACCATGGTGCTGGCCTTTTACCAGCATACCTGCCTGCCTCCTGTGCCTCTGCTCCTTCCCAGTTCCTACCAACCTGCTTTCACTCCTAAAATTCTGTTGCTTGAAAATGCTTGGATAAGTGTCACGGTTCACGCTTGGAATTCTGCTGCTAAGAAGGCAGAAGGCAGGAAGCCTGTGAATTCCAGGTCAGCCAGGCCTACACAGGGAAACCTTGTCTCAAAAGAAAAAAAAAAAACAACATCCAGGCATTGTGGCCAACCTCTATAATTGCAGCACTTGGGAGACTGAGGTAGGAGGATGACTACAAGTTTGAGGCCAGCCTAAGCTACACAGTGAGGACAGTCTGAGCTGCAGTGTGAAATCCTGTCTCAACAAATCAGTGACTTAAAGGGGAAAACTGCCATGTAAGTGTAATAATACAGTATGCAACCTCGGAGGTTGGTTTTTCTGGCTCAGTGTAATTTCCTGGAGAGTCATCCAAGGAGTTATGGCTATAAATAGCTCATTTCTTTTCATTACTAAGTAGTGTTCTATGGTTTGTATGGATTGGATTGTTTGAGCATTCGCTTTATTAAAGGGTATCTGAGCTGTTTCCAATTTTGGTTCTTATAAATAAAGCTGCTGTGAACATTTGTGCAGATCTTTGGGTGAGCATAAGTTTTCTTTTCTCTGGGATAAATGCCCAGAAGCTCGGTTGCTGGATCATATGGTAGTGGCATCTTTAGTTTTTAAAGAAGCTGTCAAGCTGTTTTCCATTGTAACCTTGCCATTTTACATTCCCACCAGCAGGGCATGAATGATCCAATTTCCCTGCGTTTCCACTAACACTTGGCATTGTCTCTATTTATAGTTTTAGCCATTCTGATACGTGGGTGATGAGGTTTTACTGTGATTTTGATCTGCGCTTCTCCAGTGTTTAATGATGTTAAGCATCTTTTCGTGTTCTTTGCCATCTGGATATTCTTTTTTCATTCTGTGAAATATCTTCATGTAATTTGTCCATTTCTTATTAGATTTGTTTGTTATTTTACTATTGTAATGATATCATTCTTTCTATATTCTAGATTCTAGTTCTTCTTGAGGATGTGATTTGCAAGTATATTTCCCCCTGTCTGTAGCTTGCTTTCCATCTTCTTCTTATGGATTTTCAAAGGAAAATCTTTTTGGGAGATAGGGTCTCCCTGTGTGGACCAGGCTGTCCTTGAACTTGTGACCGACCTCCCACCTCAGCCTCCTAAATGCTGGATGGTTGTCATGCCTGGCACAATTTTTAAAAATATCTATTTTTATGGGTGTAGTGTGTGCCTGCATGATTTTCTGTGCACCAAGTGTGTGCAGGATCTAGAAGAGTCCAAAAGGGTTCATCCCCTGAACCTGGAACTACAATTGGTTGTGAAACACCTGTTAGGAATGTGGTATCTGAACCTGGATCCTCTGCAAAAGCAGTAAGAACACTTAACCACTGAGACCTCTCCCTAAGAACAGAAATATTTTAAATCTGATAAGGTCTAGTTTTTTATATGTTTGGTTGGTTGGTTAGTTGGTTGATTGGTTTTTGTTTTTCTTTTCTTTTTGTTTTTTTGTTTTTTCAAAACAGGGTTTCTCTGTGTGATGGCTCTAACTGTACTGGAACTAGCTCTCTAGACCAGGCTAGCCTTGAACTCATAGAGATCTGCCTGCCTCTGCCTCCCAAGTGCTGGGATTAAAGGTGTGCGTCACCATTGCCTGCTGATCTGCCTGCTCCCACCTCCCACCTCCCAAATGCTGGGATGGCAGCATCACCCACCACACCTGCCTTCCCTTTTCTTCTTTGACTTTGATTTTAGTGTCAAGTCTAAAAACCCTTGGCCTGGTCTAGTGTCTGAAGAGTTTCTCCCTTTTTCCTTTTTTTATTCTTCTAAATAGTCTTGATTTTTGGTTGGCTAATTATTAGTTGATTTGGGGGCTTGCAAGTGTGTGTGCGATATGTGCTGAACCCAGGCTTTGCACATGCAAAACCCATTCTCTATCACTGAGTTAAGGCCCCAGTTCCAAGAGTTCTGGGATTTAGTGCCAATTGTTTATAGGAAATGCTGGCCAGCTTCCTGTCTTCATCGAGCAATGCTGTTTGAAGATTACTTTCAGATATATAATAGATGAGGTAGGAAGTGCCTAAAGGGCGGACAGTTAGACCACAGGTTTCATTTGACTGAATCTTTCTCTCTTTCTCTTTCTTCTTTTCTCTCTTTTTCCTTCTAGTTCCAGGGATAAAAATCCAGAGCCTCAGACCAGCTGGGCTAGCACTCTACCACTGAGATACCCCAAATTCTGCATTTTATCTGAGCTTGTTGCCAGTCCTTCCTGATACCCCCACCCCATCCATGGAGAGTTCACTACGTCAGGTCTAAGAAAGGAATTGTTAGTGTGTTTAGAGAGAAGACTGGTAGGGCAGAAGTAGAGTCAGAGAGAAGGACCTGTGTCTTCCTGCTCTCATGACCACTACTATGATTTTGGTTGTTACAAACATGAAAAGCTTTTTGCAGATTTTTGGCAAACAAGATGTGGCCTGGTTTATGTACACAGGAATTTCTGGCTGGTGAGAAGACAATAGACTGGGAGTGGGGATCTCAAAAGCACAGACATAGGTACAAAGCTCTTGTGATATTTCAGGCAAGAGGTGATGGTGGTTTTGACCACAACAAGCCAAGTGCAGCCTTCCAGCACCTGGGAGACTAAGGCAGAAGGATCTTTAAGTCCAACCTGGGCTGTAGAGTGAATTCCAATTCTGCTTGGGCTATGTAGAAAGACTCTTTTCACAACAACAAATAGGAGGCTCAGCAGCTAAGAGCACTGGCTGCTCTTCCAGAGGTCCTGAGTTCAATTCCCAGCAGCCACATGGCGGCTCACAACCATCTATAATGAGATCTGGTGCCCTCTTCTGGTGTGCAGGTGTACATGCAGAGCACGCATACATAAAATATAAATAAATACATAATTTAAAGAATTCGAGCGAGTGGCGGTGGTGAACACTTTTAATCCCAGCACTCAGGAGGCAGAGGCAGGAGGATCTCTGTGAGTTCAAGACCAGCCTGGTCTACATAGTGAGTTCCAGGACAGTCAAGGTTACACAGAGAAACACTGTCTCGAAAAAAAAACATTAAAATAACAAACAAACAAAAATAGAGAGAACATTGGATCTCAATGTCAGGTGCTGTGGCCTGAACTGTAGGGAAAATGAATTGGGAGGTGATCCATCAGTGATGTGTTTCGAGATGCTCTGCCATGCCTTGTCACAACGATGTGGAGTTGACAGCTGACTATTGAGCCTGGATCCAGCAGATGCCCTCAAAGAGAGACAGACATAATCATTTCCAGATGTCATTGAGGGCACAGAGCTTGGCGGTATTGTCAGGGAGTGTGAGTGGAGGAGGAAGACTGAGCCTAATCGTAGGGAACTTAGATTGAAAGCCCTCCACCGATGACAGGATGTCCTGGCAAACTTCCACCGGTCCCAGAGCTTCTATTTAGGGCTCTCTCAGGACAAGAGAGACGGGGTGGGGGTGAGGTATTGCTTTCATTCCTCTCTACCCTTTCAGGGTGTTAGCATTTTAGCAGTTTAGAAGTAGCCTCCCCCTCAAGGAAGCAGCATCTGCAGGAGCAGGTAAGCATGCCCCCTCCCCTTACCTTCCTTCTCATCTTCTTTCAAGGAACCAGCAAGGCAACACTTCTTCTCCAAGCATGACAACCGCACTTCTTTCGACAAAGTGAGTGCTGGAAAGAGGAAGGGGGAGGAGTCCCTGACTGACAGAGGATGGAGCTGGTAGGGTAGAGATACAACCTTTAGGAGAGCAAAGGTTTCTTAAATAAGCAGATCATCTATTTTCCCTAACCTTTCCCACAGCTAAATAGCCCCATCCCCCAGACAGAGACAGCTCTGCCTTGGTTTTCTTGGCTAGTTTCCCCAACGGTGTACAAATATCCCAGGGAGCCACTCTGGGGCTTCATGCTAAGGTGGATGGTATTACTGAGGATGCAGGGTACAGGTTAGGCCTAGGACAATGCCAGCATCACCGAACTGTCACGGGATTAGATGGGGCCCAAGCAAATCCTGGATGCCAAGACTGTGGGCCAAGGGCCCGTACCGTTGAGGAGGGCCCCTACTGCCTGCTGCAGGGAATTGGAAGACGGAAAGACCTGGAACGCCTGTGGAAAAGACACACCTTTCTGCGTTGGGCACCCTGCGAGCTGGAACTGAGCCAGCAGCAGCCTCTGGAATCTTCCTACCAGACTGATTTCCCGTCAGGCACAGGACTCACTAGGCTCCCCCAACGCCTCGTCCATTTTGTGCAGGTCCAGCCTCCCTATGCCAACACCACCTACCAGCATAACTTTTGCCGGTCATCCCAGAGTGGCCGTTGTGGTAGCGCCAAGGTAAGGCCCCAAGAGCCAGTTGCTGAAATGCTGCCTGACCTCCCAGGAATCCCGAGGCCCAAGCTGCTGCAGCACTACCTTCATGCTGGAGTTTCTGAGTGTTTAAATTGGTCTCAAGCATTAAACAGGGTCAGCTGACATAGCGGCCTGTTTGTACTGACAGCCCAAGGTGTCTCAGGGGCCTGTGATCAGCTTGCTACCAGATCGTGTCTGGCTCCCACGGCATTTGTGCCAATGCTTGTGTCCTGGGCTGGGGAGAAGCTGTTCAGGGAGTCCTGCCACGAAGTGAGAAAGGCTAGGGCCTGTGGCAGACTCAGAGTCCAGGAAGGTCGCCTTGACCATGGGTGGATTCTAGGGACCAATAACTTCTCAGTAGCTGTAGCCTCTTCTACTCGGTATTGCTATGGGGAACACAGAACCTGAGGGTCCTAAGTGAGCAACCTAGGGCAGCAGCTCCCTCCAGGAGCCAGGTATCTTGAAGGGTTTGGCCCTTTAGCCACACAGTCCTGCCCAAGAGATGTCTCCCCCCCACAAGGAGACTGCCACCACACCACTGAACCACGGATTCCTCTGCAGCTGTGCGGAACTCGAGGTGAACTGTGGGACGTGATCTCAAGGTCATCCTAACCTTGACACTCGAGATGCCTTATGTTACCTAAGCCAAAGCTGAGGCTTAGGTGGAGTTGAGACACAGGTCACTTTAGGTTGGAAAGCTTAGGAGGCTCCCTGTGGGCTCTCGTCCCTGGGAGAGTCGAGGCCTCCAAAGGAGGGCAGGGCAGGAAAAGCATCAAAGCCGCACAGCAGATTTCATCAGATGTTTTATTTCTACATCCAAACTCCCTGGGTCCTCACAACAGCCCTGTGAGGTAGGTGGGGCAGGAAAGTTTCAGAGCTCCCCATTCACAAATGAGGACGCCGAGGCACAGAGAGGTGAGACGGCTTGCCCCAGGTAGAGTCCTCTGGCCCTCCGGCAGTCCCCACATTCTCTCCTCTGTTTCTTCTGTGATCTCCAGCCTCAGAATACTCCTAGGGTCCACAGGGACCCTCAGGGAAGGCTGGACACTCAGACTTTTCCAGAATGGCCACTGGAGAAGGCCTGGTCAACTCTCGGGGCCTACCCTGTGAGACCAAGGCTCTCCTCTTCCCACTTCAGAGTTGACAGAGGGCCTATAAGTGCTGGAGCTAGCTATGTTTGTGAGTGAATGGTGTTAAAAACAGGTGTAAGCATGTGTGTCCTGTGCTGAAGACAAAGGCTCCTCCAACCCCAGTACCTAAGGCAGTAACTCAGGTGCCCTCTCCTGTGCCTCCCTCATCCTACAGAGCCATGGGGAGCTCCCTCAGCAGTGAAAAGGAGCCCAATCTGCTTCTACACTGAGCTGCTCTGGTAGACAGGTCTCCCCAGGCCTTCAGACCCCATCACGCAGACACAGTGCCTCCACAGCTTGACTGGGGCCCTGGGCCACACCTCCAATAACGAACAGCCGGGGCCCAGCCTGTAGGCTGGAACAGGAGCATCGGGCTGTAGGCATGGCAGGCAGTGCCTCCCAGCGTCGCCGTGCCAGACTGAAGCTCTCCACGGAGGCCAGAGGGCATGGCTGGTTCCCTGCAGGAAGGACACAGATGGTGGTGAGGGGCTCAAGCGCCTTTTGCTCCCTTTCCCAGACAATGGCCCAGTAAGTACTACCCCAGCCCTCGCTACCAGTGCTTGCTCTTCATTGCCCAGAGTTCATCTTTGTTTATTCGTTTATTCTTGCTTTAGTCTATTTGGTCACTGTCGTCTGCTCTGCTTCCATTACAGCCCCCAGTCAGGCACTGGGGGACGCTCTGAGAGCTGGGACAACCACAAGCCCCCTGATTTACAGATGGGCAAAGTACCGGCAAAGCTCTGACCCCAGAGTCTAGAGAAGGTGATCCTTCTAGAGATACTCTTTTCTGCTTCATACCTCCGTTCCCTCAGCTCTGCAGACTTACCGAGGCCCCCAACAGCCACAATGTTGCCCCCTAGGGAGCCAACGACAAAGTCAGCCCTCTTATCTCTCATTCGCAGGCTACGAGGCAGCTTAGTCCAGGACCCTGAAGGAAAGAAGACATAAGATGAGCACACATAGACATATACAGCCGCGAGGACGAGAAGATGTAAGATGTATGCGCACATATACAGACGCAAGGCACGCGTGCACAGACATACACAGACATACGCAGCTGTGAGGGAGAGAAGACTTAAGGTGTAAGCACACAGATGTAGGGCATGTGCACATGTGCGCGCGCACACACACAATGCCCTTGTATCCTACAGAGAGCTGGACAGACTAGAAGAGGTATTGCTCACCATGCTCCAGGTCAAACATCTCCACAGTGTTGACAAAGTGTGGGCGGGAGTAGAAATTGTGGGGCCCAGGCTGCTGCAGGCCACCCAGGCTAAAAACACTGCCTTCAGCCATAGCACAGCCAGCAAAGGCTCGGCGGCTGGGCAGGCTTGGGTGTCGGGTCCATGTACGGGTCTCCAGATCAAAAGCTTCAAAAGCAGTCACTGGGAGCTTGCCCTGGCGGCCTCCTGTCAAAGGAATTGAAGCACCCAGAATAGAACCCCGAAGGCTTGGTGGCATTTTACCAGGTAGCTGAACTGTCCATCCCAGGCTACTCCACCCAGCTGTGTACACACCGGACTATCGGTCATTCATGAGATCACGTAAACCCTCAGGCACTGAATTTAATTTTCCAACCCTAGTTGGGCCACCAAGGAGGCCTCAGAATAGGTCTGGATTCCCACCAACAAAACTTCCCAAATACAGACATCTCAGACTAAAACTGATCCCTAATCCAGACAACCTACAGGGATGGAGACATCTGGACTCTTTTTTCCCCCTTTCCCACATCCTTCAGCCCTTACCCAGGACATAGATCTTGTTCCCATGCAGGAAGGTGGAGGCCCCGTAGCAGGGTGTGGGCATGGAGGGTAGCGACATCCAGCAATCCTGGCGGGGCTCATATACTCGTACCTGGGCCTGGGGGGCCGTGTCAGGACCCATTCCCCCCAGGGCATACACCATACCGTCTGCACAGAGAAGAGTAGTTCAGACCTCACAACCATGTCTGGCTGGTAAACCCCACCCCGACAGCTCCCTTGGTCAGGCCCAGGGGTGGATGGAGACTTATATGTTTTGTCAAAAACTTGGTTGCCCATCTGAAGTGGGAACTAGGAGTCTGGGATTCCAGCTTTGGCCTAGGCTCCTCCAAGTGAAGAGCAGGAGGCAGCCGATCTAATTATAATCCAGCACTGTCTCCCTGGAGACGCTATGGCAACCAAATCTGGCATCTAAGCAGACTAGCCTGGACTGGTGGTCAGACCTGGAGGCCACAAGGTGTGTGTGTGTGTGTGTGTGTGTGTGTAGGGGGGGAACTCCCCTAACGGGGGAGAGGAGGGATAGATTAAGACAGTGGTAGAGGGGATAAAGAGACTTGCTCTGCACGAAGCTCAGTCTGGGAAGGGAACTCAGGGGATGAGCTAAGGGAAGGCCTGGGACCGGGAAACGAGCTGGCGCCTGTAGGACAGAGCTGTGAGCCCCTGGCACCCTGTTAGCACCTCTGCACCATACTGTTTGACTAGAGTAGGTCTTTGCCTTCTGTTAGGTGCTCAGAGTCAGCTAGGGGCACAGCGACAGGCCTTTGGGTGATGTGTCAGGCAGCTGGGGGCTTCCATGGCAACCATCTCCAGGT